ATGGTTTCCATTTAAAAAAATAAAGTTACGTCTAAAATCTCGAAAATAAATGATGGGAAAAAAATTCTACCTACGCCACTGAATTCTTCGTAAAAAGTTGCCCATATAATGTTTTATTTATAATACTCCATCTTTGATAATAAGTGAGATATTCGCGATTGTCGTTTTTGCAAAATTTTCAGTTTTTGCCGATAGGGCGAAAACAAAAGACGATAGTTGTTCGGAGTTTTCGGCATTAGCATTTTCTCGAAAAACGAGATCATAACGTGTAAGCTACTTTTTTTCTATCTCTTTTAGTTTCGGAGATAGCCTATGCGGACATCGAAATTGGGACACCTGTACACAAAAAAAGTTAAAGTTTGCAGCACAGTGTAATGAGTGTCTGAACAGTTATAGTGGATAATAACTCCAAAGCGTCCTCCTAGTTCTTAAATAGTTGAAAGTCTTGCATTGGTTGTAACTTAATTTTTCAAGAAGTGATCTCAGCTCTGTAAACTTAAACGGCCCGAATATAAAACATAACCGAAACAGTCACGAGTACGCTTAATCATAGCTGAGAAAAAAGCTAAAAAATGCTTTTGTACAATTGAATTTTCAGCACAATTTTTGCTTTATGGAGCTAAAACGACTAAAAAAATAAACTCTATCTTTCAAAAGCAAGTTTGAAGCAAAATAGTTGAAATTGCTGTATATAATTGCACAGTTAACTTTCTTGCACGGTTCGGATATAAAATTTGGCCTAATTAGCAATGACTACATGTGGAAAAGGAATGATCATCTCTCACATAATACATAAGACTAAGATGGTTTGAAACTGTATCTACCTTCGAATTGGGTTCTTTTAGAAATCACAGAAATGATAACAAAAATAATAACCGTTAGAAATAGGGTGAATGGAGCGATTCGGAATCTGAAAGAAACGTAGTGGAAGAGGTTTTCATTGGAGATGTAGCACGACCTGTACGGAGTGTTGAAAAGGATATGGAATGTACTAAGAAATAGACAGAAAGAAGTCAACGAAGAGGTAACAACTATCAGCTCCGTAATCTCGAGGAAAAGTTAACATATATGCGAATCCTAGATGGTAGTCAACGGGATAACGGGGAGGGCTTTCAACGAGAGGACCAAGAGGAACACAAACAAATGTCGGTCGAAGAAGACACAACCCAGGACATAGCCAACGAAATTTTAAGGTATGGAGGGCCGGATGTGGGATAGTGTAACGTAGATAGGGTAAAAGGACTGCCGCCACCAATGTAATGTGGACGGAAGAAAAAGGAAGTACGGTAGCGTGTACTTACAGAAAAAGAGAAAAAATTATAGAAGTTTTTGAGATGCTGCCACCAGGCAAGCTACGTACTTGGCTAAACGATTTAAGAAGTTGATGAGTAAGAGGAGGGAGGATCGTAGCCCTTGTGTTGAAATTGAAATAATACGAAACAAGAATTTATATAAAAAAATATTAATATATTAAAGTAAGAGATATAATACATATATAAAAGAAAATAGAAAGGTAAAACGAACGAAAAAATTAGGTTAAAATATTAAGGAAAAAATAACTAAGTGAACAAATTTTGAATTACGGAACGTTAACATTCAAATTAACTATATACATTTATCTATTTAGAGAAAATACCAAACTCAATCTCTAACAATAATTTCAATTAGTAACAATCGACTTTCCAGTGGCTTTAGCTAACTAAATATAAGGGATATTCGTGGATACAATTTTTTCTAGCAATGAACCTGAATTTCAAGAACAATATTAATTGATTATACTTACTTTTTCTACGCTACGACGACGCTCTTCTGCCAGGATTCGGACGCTTCAGAAGCTGGCTTCAAGGCACAATTTCGAAAGGACAATTCGATTTCTCTCGCAAATTATCCAGGACAACCACCAGCGTATTTAGAAGCTTTTCCGAATTTAGTAATGAGAATTTAAATTAAATAAGAAAAATGGAGCAAACTCAAGGGGAAGACTATAGCTTCTATCTACCTTGGTAATTGGTACCCGACTGCCCGAGTCGAACTCGATAGCGCACCAACGCCTCACGCGATAAAGATGACTTAAACAAAATAATTATACAAATTGCAATTTAATATACACGGCCGTTTGTTACAACAGGGGTTCCAGACGAATAGAGACATAGCGTTACCAATACCTGTATTCAAGAATGGAAACAAAAAGGACTCTCACAACTATAGAATAGACAACTCTATTAAACAGAGCAAGCAAGCAACTAACAAAAATAATCACGTTGAAGCTCTCCAAGAGGTTAAAGATTAGGGAGGAACAGTACGTTTTGAGGCAAAACAAATCTACAATGTACGCAGAAGGTGTTCAACAGTGTACAGTTGACGGGCGTTTCGCAGATTCCGCAAGAACACGGGACTAATTAAAACTACATTAAGGTGCTTGAACAGCTAACTACGAACAATAAAACACACATAAAGGCAAAAGGGGTCTAACCGGGGAGGTACCTAAAACAGCAGAGATCCGATAGAGCGACAGTATGAGCTTATTCCTTTTCAATCTGATTAGGGACAAAATAATCCAAAGGGTCAAAGAAGTCAAGGGTATGGAGATAAACATGGAGATATTCGAGGAGAAGACTGAACCAATAGCGATGCCAAAAGGGGCTATCAGGTGCAAATCCTTATTAGGCAGAGCCTGCAGTGTAGGTACCGGGACCGGGGTGTTGACATCTTTAGATGCAGAAATTTGCACCAAGAAGTTGGGGCACAAGTCAATACAAGCTCTAGAATATCTGCATATCTAAAGGACATCGTATGGGGGAACAAATACTTGTCCAAGGAGAGCCAAGTTCTCATCTACAAAACCACAGTGAGGCCGGTACTGATTTATGCATCGGAAACTAGGGCGGATACTTCAAAAACCAAGAGCAAGCTGAGAGCCACCGAAATAAGAAAGATAAGAGAAGTAACTCCGAGAGGTCAGATAGGAAGCTCAGCAATACTGAGGGTAACTGACGGCGCCTAACGTGGTGCGATTTGTGCGGCGAGGCGCAAATGCTGGAAAGACCACGTAGACAGGATGGACACGAGTTTTGGGCGAAATGGTCGAAGAGTGAGAGACCGACTTCTTTAGTATTCCAAGAGGCCTGATGAAGCAGAAAACAAGACATAGTCTTAAATAAGGAGGAAGAAGAAGAAAAATGATAATTTGATTTGTTTCTGATTTTGTGGATACAGATTTTTTATGTTGTCTGAATTTTCTTTGGGTGTTGTTTGTGACTTGTGGGTATCAACCTACTGAAGTAATACCAATATCTTATAGGAATTCTACTTATTTGCAGAGTAATTTTGATTTGTCCATTTAGATTTATAATCAGTATTCTTCTAATTTTTTAAGGACCTTTTTTAGACTTGCTATGAGTTTCTGTAAAGTTTTTGTGAAGTAAGTACTTCGTGATATTTTATCTGCTATGATCAATATTCTCCATTTTTTAATAATTTGTATGGAAATCTTTTAATCTGATACATAAATTAGGTTAAATGTTTAAATAACTCTGTATACTTATACTAAATTTGTATAATACTAAATATTTAATTTAAGAATTTTCTAGTGATTTAAATTTCGTTTCAGTACTGCTGCAAAACTTCCTCTTCATATATTTTCCTCATCTAGCGAGAAATGGGGGCTAAAGAAAAAGAAAAACTTTCTTGAAAAATCAACGTCATCGGACGTAATCTCTTAGATATGTGTCCATCCAATTTTCGTCGACAATGTCGCCGTATGCGATATTCATGGTGAGGGCTGGTAAGCACAAAAGGGTGCGCACCGGTTGACGCGGTCGTCCACAGAAGCTTCTTCCTCTCCCGCTTGATTACCTCCCACAATGGACGTTTGAAGTGGATACGTACACCATCCAGCGTCTCTTTTAAACCGTTCCCACCGATCTGAACCGTTTTTACTAAAGTCTCATCTAAAGCAAAACGACGACGACGATTTCCTTCCTCTTCTTTCCTTCAGCAATGTTCCAACCATCTAAACGCCTCGAGATATTCTCAATCGAGAAACTCTACTGGTAGATTAATAGATTTTAAAATAAAACTTCTTCTTTATTCAAATCATAAAAGATTTAATGATTATTTTTATTATTCTTATTTCTATACTTCCTAATTTTTTCTTTGATTCAAAGTAAAACCAAAAGCTTTGATGGGTGGCGCGCGCCGTTACCACGGTAACGTCGGCGACGGCGGCAATCTCGTCGTCTGAACCGAACAACCGGAGAGAGAGGAGGATTCCCACTCATATTCAGTCAGTCCGGCCGCGGGTCGGGCGTCGGAAGCGGCATGGATGGATGCCGAACCGCGTAGATCAATGCAGAAACGCGGCCGTCGAAGGCGATGACCACCTGGTGGTGGAGGTGCCGGAAGAGGAGGAGGAAGAAGACGAAAATATTAGGAGGTAGAGAAAGAAATAGTCAATCACGATGATTATGGCTGGTCGAGGACATCATCAGCGAGCAAACGGCAGTTCCAGGACTACGGCCAGGGTCCACCTGGACCCTTGGAATCTTGATCCGGAACTTCGACATCATATCGAGAACTGTCCATGTTCTTGTGATCATATGGGATATGGAAATTTTCTTGATTATCAGGTAATATTTTTATTAAATTTGATTCCATACGGAACCTAATTTTTTAAAACTTTTTAAAATATTGTTTAGGAAAGACTTAATTATAACAATTAAAACATTATTTTTATACCTTTTTTTAATACCAACAACATCAAATGTTTCTGCACAATTAACACTTAATTTATTTTAACATAACGCGCTCCAGGGAGTGTTAACACGATGAATAACGATTTGTTATTAACAAAGAGCTCATTTATTACGCATGAACCAGAATCATCCTCGCACTATAATTGCGTTGTTCCATGATTGATGACCATATCGATAAATGAAAAGTGATAGGGGGTGCGTGATAAACAGAGTACGCACCGATTGAACGTAACATCTTTAAGCATAAATCCTTTAAAACTTTTTTGAGCAATCGATATTTAATTTCAAAGCTCGCAAAAAAGGTAATTTAGTTATCCATCGGGTTTAAATTCGAATCGGAGTTAAACCAACTAAAAAGACTTAAAGTGATAAATGAATTTGATAGATTTAATGTGTAAAGTAAATCGATAACCTTAATGATATTCAAAGTAGTTTTGGGCAATATAAATGAAGTTTCAAAGTTGTCCAGATTTGAGTTGATTTCGGCTTATTTATTTGATGAAGGTAATTTTTCATCAAAACTTATTTTAATGGAAAGCTCCGTTGTCATTTCGCCCATTCACTCTTATTATGTTTTACGGTCCCTCACCCGTCCTTTATATCTATGAAACTCTACACCGAGGAACGAACGAACTCTTTAAATTTTCCATTTTCCGAGTCGCATGTCATTTTCCACACCTGTTCTTGACATCTTTCCTTTTTTGTTGCTACCAGTCCAACAGATATTCATAAAAAAGGAGATAAATTATTCCATTTTTGTTTTATTTATCTTCTTTAAATTCGACCTGATCAAAGATTATAACGAAGTCTTAAGAATCGGAAATGGAAATTTATTTTCCACAGCCGTTTCTCGACTTTCAATGTAGCGGGTAGTACGTTTTCGGTACTAAATCGGGCGAGGAAAATCCGTTTTTATTTATGCACCCCGTTTCTGAGCCCGAAATGTATCCGCATTAAAACGGGAAATAGGGCGATAGGACTTAATAGTAAATAGGTACACTTCCACAGAAAATTTAATACTCAAAACTAATTTAATTTGCGGATTGAAATTTATATTTACTTACTCAAGTGAAATTTTTTCTGCAAACGATCAATAATTCATAAAGAATTATTTCAAAAGTATAACGATAAAGTTTTACTAATGGTTCTCCAAGAACCGCTATATTTTATCAATATTAAGAACTTTATGCACTTTATGTTCGCGCATATTACAATCACCACCAAGGTAAAATGGATGGAAACGACGCTTTCAAGCCGATATTACTCTTCGCATCCGGGTACTTGTACGTTTTCAATTATTAGATTTTGCGACCACCTTTCTTATCTTACATTCCAAACCTTTTCTCTTGTGGACCATTAAAATCAGGACGCGCGCACACACCATTAACAACGAAAACCGTGCCCGTCCAATTATCCTAGTTCATATTTAACTGAACTTGCATAAACTTGTCGACCCCAGCTTTACTTTTCTTTATTATTCAATTCATTTAGATTTTAGCATGCAGAGTGCCTCAGGTGATTAGGAAAATTATGGGGAATCTGGAAAGTGCAAAAGAAATATATTAAAAAAATAAAAAATATATTATATTTAATATAATATACAGCCTGTTTCAGAGTAAGCGTCTTATTTTTTTTAGCCACACTATGGGTACTACTTTCAAAATACTTGGCAGTAATATGTTTTAGAACATTCTTTACACGATGGTAATACATACCAGATTTTCAATTTATGTATTAAAAAAGAAGGAAAACACTTCGAGCATTTTTTGTAAATACCTAATCTTTATTTGATGTACATTTTTAATTTTAAGTTTCAAAAAGTAGATATTTATTACAAAATAATGTTTAATTGTTTCTTTTGTGTTAACAGCCACAAAAATAACATCGAGTAAAACATTTATGCGCTACTAGATTAAAATGTCAGATTGTTTTTTAATGAGAACAGAAATGAATTTTTAAGAAAAACGAAATACTATCGTAAAAAGAATGTTTTTAGAATCTCAATAATAAAAAAAAATTATGGTATTCCATTAAAAAAAAAAGTTGAAAGTCGCCATTTTGAAATAATTCCTTCAATTGAAAATCTGGTATCACCATCGTGTAGAAAATATCCTAAAACATATTACTGCCAAATATTTTGAAAGTAGTACCCGTAGTGTGGCTAAAAAAAATAAGGCGCTTACTCTGAAACAGGCTGTATAATTTATTTCAATGTAATAAGCTTATTTATTATAAATATATTTTGTGTTGAATAAGAAACTTTTTGTCAAAAAATATCTTTGATTTTTGTTACCAATAATAATTATTTGATAGCTTTTTTATGCTGCAAGAATACGCTTTCATAATAATAATTAGCATCTCTCTATTACAAAGAATTACAATGTGATCAGCAAATAACTCATGGTTCTAATGAAGAATATCAACTAATTATTAACTATTAATGCATTTTCGGAAAACGTTGAACAGAAAATGAGACGAAAATCTGTTTTCTGTTGTTTCTAGGTATTTCTACAGGCTGATTCACATAAGAACCGACACAGAGCAGGGACATGTAGAGGACAATAAATTAAAATGATTTAACGTAACTTACCTCTATACTAAGTTGTACACCTCAGGAGTTATAGGCTTTCAAAGTTGGCTCTTAAATTTTTAAAAAGTTCAATTTCTTCGTAATTCATTAAGCTAGAAAAACCAAATTTGGTATACGTTATGAGTGTACCAAGGGTATTAATTGGTAGCAAATTGAACTCAATTGAGGCATTTCAAAGGGTTGATTAAGGGTGATGGTACCCTAAATTTTGACAGATTTTTTTAACCTTTTGGCGGATTTAATACATTACTACTTCATTTCATGTGGAATTTAATTCTAAAACTTTTCTTACTCTTATTATTTTTTAAAAAACTTTGTCGTTTTCATAAAAAACTTAAATAACTAAAGACACGTATTTCGTAATGTTACTTAAAATAAGAGAAAATTTAGTAGTCGGCTATGAAATTGTACGTCAAACTTGACAAATAGGTTATAAAGTTATTTGACGACAAGGTTTTCTCCATCTTTTCTCCATCACCTTTCATTCTTGAGTTATGATCGATTTTAACACCAAAAGTACCCAATTTTGACATTTTGGGGATTTTCTCTTTATCACCTGAAAATCATTACATCTAAACTAAATTTGTTTATGGATGATGTCTTCTTAGTTGACAATAAACAACTTATTCCTAAAAAACTTTTCTCCATCACCTTTCATCCTTGAGTTATGATCAATTTTAATACCAAAAGTACTCAATTTTGATATTTCGATGATTTTCTCTTTTTATCATTAGAATATCATTATAACTAAACCAAATCTGTTTATGAGTATTGTCCTTTTAGTTCATAATAAACTATTTATTTCAAATAAACTTTTCTCCATCACCATCAATTTTTGAGTTATGATCTATTTTAATACCAAAAGTACTCAATTTTGACATTTTGGTGATATTTCTTTATCACTAGAAAATCGTTATAACTAAACCAAATCTGTTTATGGATGATGTCTTTTTAGTTCATAATAAACAATTTATTTCAAAAAAACTTTTCGTTATCACCTTTCATTCTTGAGTTATGATCGATTTTAAAACCAAAAGTACTTAATTTTGACATTTTGGGGATTTTCTCTTTATCACTAGAAAATTATTATGCCTAAACTAAATTTGTTTATGGATGATGTCTTTTTAGTTCATAATAAACAGTTTATTCCTCAAATTACGTACAATTTCACAGCCGACTACTGAATTTTCCATGATTTTAAGTAGCATTAACAAGATACGCGTCTTTATTTTTTTGAGTTTTTTATGAAAACGACAATGTTTTTTAAAAAATAGTAACAGTAAAAAAAGTTTTAGAATTAAATTCCACATGAAATGAGGTAATAATGTATTAAATCCACAAAATGGTTAAAAAAAATCTGCCAAAATTTAGGGAACCATCACCCTTAATCAACCCTTTGAAATGCCTCAATTGGTCTCAACTTGCTACCAATTAATACCCTCGGTACACTCATAACGTATACCAAATTTGGTTTTTCTAGCTTAATGTATTACGAAGATATTCAATGTTTTTAAAATTTAAGACCCAACTTTGAAAGCCTATAACTTCTCAGAGGTACAACTTGGTATAGAGATAAGTTGCGTTAAATCATCTTAATTTATTGTCCTCTACATGTCCCCCTTAACTTCATAATTGCATAATTAAAGAAAACAATTACAAATCATACACAGTTTAATTAAATGTTGGAAATGTCCGCCGTTAGCTTCAATGCACGCACCAATTCTTCGACGCATTGGCTATCTAACAGGCAGAAAAATTCCCGGAGTGTTCCGAATTATGTCGCAAGATAGAACAATGCTCTCTCTTAATTGGTCAACATTTTCAACTGGAGTAGCGTAGACTAGGGTTTTCAGATGACCCCAAAAGAAAAATTTAAACAATTAAGTTCGGGAGATCGCGGTGGTTAAGGGTGCGGACCTCCTCGACCGATCCAACGGTCTGGGTGTTCGTCGTCCAAGTATTTGCGAGCAAACTAAAGTGGGCCGGAGCTCCATCATGTATAAAGTACATGTTTTGTTTTACTTGAAGCAGTACATCTTCCAGCAGTTTCAACAGCTTCTTCTAGAAATTGTCAATAATCTGCGCCGTTTAATCTGTTCGGTAAAAAATGTGGGCATATCAAATGATCACCGACGATGGCAGCTCAAACATTTACGGAAAATTGTTGCTTATGATGGCCGTCTGCAATTTCATGTGGATTTTCTTCTGCCCATATATGATTATTGTGAAAATTGAAAACACCATCCTTCGAGATGCTTCATCGGTAAACATAATTTCGGGTACA